GCTCCTCCCCTCCGCCTTGGCCCAGAGATGGTCTCTCCCACTTGGCGTGACGTCCCCGCCCCGACCACGCCCCTCTCGCAGCGGACCAATCAGTGGCGAGGCGCCTGGAATTATGAATGGGCTGCTACACACGTCACAGGCCGGCGTTTAAAGGGCGAGCGAGGGGGGGCGCCGCGCGCGGGGACCCCGAAGCCACCGGAGGGAGCCCCGAGGGTCCCCCCATCCCGCCCGGGAGCCCCAAAGGCTGCAAATACCCGGCACAGCCCCCCGGTCCCAGCGATACCATGAGGTCCATACCATACCTTTTGATAATGACCCACACACACAAAAAAAGCTACAAAAACACTTAAAAATAACAGTAAAGTTTCTCCTTTTTAAAATAAACCAAACCTTCCACCGCTGTACATATACACATTACTTGCAGTACAAAAATCCCAGAGAAATAGTTGCTGTATTCAGCTACACTCTGTTCATCCCTTATCTTTCGCGTAAGCTTCCTTTGGCCCAAAACATTCCAATCCAAGAGCAATGAGATCCCCTCTACAGACAACGCTATGGATTGGGCTAGTGTCACCCACCAAACTCGCACCAAAGCGGGCGAATTTACTAGTTACCAATTGGCTTTTGTTCTGTCACTCACGTAGCTGCTACCAAATGCATTTAACTCACAAATGAATCTGCTCTGCTCCAGTCTTTAAGCGCTAAACAAAAATAGGTCTTTCACTCTATCATACAAAGAGCTTGGACAATTTGCCCAATGTAAAAAGCAGTTACCACCAGGCATAATCTAGTAATAACAATATACAAAAGTGATACCAGTCAAGGTGGAGAGAGCAGGAAAAGATCTGGCAATACGTTAAAAACAGAACATGAGGGCTCGCAAGTTCTCCAGCAAAGGTTTGTTTGCAAGGTCAGACTCGTTATTCACAAAGCCAGAAGAGCAGAACACGCTGTGGGCTGCAGCACAGAAATCCAGCAGCTGTCTGGGAGATGGTAACTGTTCCTCTAGCGCAGAGCATGCAGCCAGAGGAAGGCTCTGTGCTGGATGGAGGTCTCACCTTTGGGGAACAAGTGTCCGTTTAACTCCTGCACAGAATCTGGGGAAGAGCAAGTTTCATCTCTGCATAAAGTTCTTTTCCAAGGCAGCGGGAGTTCTCTGCAGGGAGTGGATTTTGCGCTTCACTCGATCCTCTAGAGTGGAAGTAGAGGCACTCTCTACTTTTAAGCGTCTGCGGAAAAGTGAACCAAAAAAAAAAGAAGTCAGAAGTTCTTTCCAAACATTACACTATGTTTGGCAGGATTCATTAGTCCCAAATCATCTACCTACATTAAACTAAAATAAGAAGCAGTAAATTATTTCTTCGTAAAGACCACAGTGAAAAAGACTGAACAGCTTTTAGTTTAGCTTGTAACAGATTCGCTGCCTTATTTAAGGTCAGCACTCAGAAATACGCTTTCGATAGCTCATCTTCCAAATATAATTAGCCGTTAATTACAAATGCATCTCTCACAGGGGACTTAGTTGCTTTCTGAGAAGCAAACGAGGGAAAAGCAATGTGTTCCCAAGCCCAGGGCAGCTCTCCTCTGGGAAGCCAAATGCCAGAGCTTGTACAGAGCAGGGATCCTCGTGGTCGCTGCTTCCTTCTTGCTTTTACTACTTCAAGCCACTGCAGATCCTTCTCTGAACGATCTCTTCATTCCCATGGCCACCCTCAAAAAGCAGGCCAATAAACAGAGTTTGTTGGTTTTACACAGGGGAACATGCAGAAATGCCTTTTCGTAAAACATCTTGTTCAAGAAAAAGTCTATTGTGATTTTAACCACCTGTACACAATTCTAGCTCTGGGCTGCTTCAAAATTAGAGTGTACCTCTTTCTCTGAATTATTTATATAGCCTGGAGGAGACTATGTTACAACGATTCCACAATACCCAACCCTGCCATAGGATCTCTCTCACACACGACTACATCAGGGCTCTGGAAAAACAGGCCTGCGGACACACTGGGAAAGCACTCTCCTAATTGGAGGCAGGGTTTTCTGGAAGTCCTCATGCCACTCCAATTTCTTTTGCCTGTGAGCTATTATTCATGTTTAGAGAGGTGCATCTAGAACTGGTCTTATTTCTTCTTTAAGACAGGCCTCAGTCACACACGCCCTTGGCACAAGGATTCCTGGCTGGCTTGCAGGACTGGAACTCTGCCGTGAGCCCCTACGAGCAGGTGCTAAACAGCTCTGGTTTTAAAACACTGGGTATTTCTTTAGCATGGCACAAATAACTAGCTACCAGTTTTTGGGCTATTATCAAGGACATCACAGAAGTAGAAAGCAGCTATTTTCTAGGTAAGAACAGAACTTGGTAAAAGTAGATACGGTAGTTCCATTGCACAGCATAGTAGAGACAGATCTGTACCATGATCAAGCACTCCTGAAAAGCTGTGGCCTCCAGCTATTTTCTAGGTAAGAACAGAACTCGGTAAAAGTAAATATGCTAGTTCCACTGCACAGCAGAGACAGATCTGTACCATGATCACGCACTTCTGAAAAGCTGTGGCCTGTATTTCCACCAAATGAAAAAGGAGATAACGAAGACACTCACTGCAAGAACTTCCCATCTCGGGAGTCAAGTTTTTCCATCTCTCGTTCCAGCTCCTCCTCCTTTTGGTGTTTCCTGAGGTTGTTGGCCCTCTCCTCGTCTCGCCACTTGGCATTTTCCATCATTTCCTGGCGTTTACGCTCTAGTTCCTCTGGAGAGATCTTCCTATTTGCGTAGGAAAAAGCACTGTTGTGAATCAGTAGTTTGCTGGGCACCATCCCCATCTTGCTTCCCGTTCTTTAACGGGAGTTATGATCTCCAAAATTAGGAGTGTCTAACACGGCTTTTCCTTTGGTATTCAACCAGCAAAACACCTAAACACATGTCTAAAGGCTCTACTTTATTGTGCCTCTAGAAAGGGTCTGTTTTCTGCCTCTTTTCAGCCCTCTTAATTCATTGGTAAAATGATGCTGTCAAGGTCATATTTTCTTGATGACAGGGAAAGAAAACGCTTCTAATTAACAGTCTGCAGGATAAAGGCTGACTTCACATGACTGCCCCACACAGCAACACGAGACACATGGAGAAACTGCAGCCACATGAGCTGTTTGGGAAGCTGTCCAAAGTGGTGGCAATTAAGCTCAAGAGCATCAAGCCCAACACTTCAGGGCTGTCTGCCTGACTTTGCGGTGAACTGATGTATTTTAGTTACCAGAATGAAACGTGTCTCACAGATTACACCAAACTATTCCATAATCATCAGGGACAACTAGCATCCAGAAGCAGGGGGACCGGGTTTTACTCACTTGGTGTAACCCGAGGAATGCTGCCGGCGGTAGCCCTTTTTAGGGGAAGGGCTTCTAGCTTTGCTTTTCTCCTCCCGACTGCTGTAACATAAAAACACCTTGTTTTTAGAACAGAGGAACATGATGTTTTTCCCCCCTAGACTTCCCCCAGATTTTTTGCACACATTCTGAAACTGAGATCTCTACCCGGCTTCTATTCCCCCACCAGCAGCCCTTGATAAAGGTCATCCAGGGCGGCCACACTCACTGTTTATTGTGTCTAGAAGGGGATCTTGACCTCCTGCATCCAGGCTGTTCCGCACTCTTTTTGCTGCTGCGCCTCTGAGGAGAGCGCGAGCGGCTCCTGGACCTGGAGCGATCCCGGTGCTTGTGGGGGGCCCTCTCCTGGCTGGCAGCTGGAGAGCTCCGGGACTTGTGGTTCTGGTCAGTCTCTCTAACCTGGAATTTAAAAAATATCCTTAAGGAGGGACAACCTCTCAGAACTTCACAACAAGGGGAGGCCACAAAGGACAGAGCATGTGTATTTTGGTTTAAATGTCTCATCTGCTGATTTCCTGCCCTAGAATCTGTGTCTAAAAAGGTAACTTCTGTACAACGCTCAGCAATAAGCTAATATGTCATTACAGTCAATTACATTATTTAAATAGATACACAGCTACAAGAAAAGAAACTAAACAGAATTTATCTCAAACTTGGAAACAAGAAAATTCCTACCAGGTTTCAAGACTTGGATGGCTCCAAACTGAATCTGAACTTTTCTTAAATCACATCCCCTTCATACCCCCCTTCCAGCTGGCGAAGTAGTTATTGCAGCAAGCTTCTCCAAGCCTCTGTGAGCATTTGCTACTGAAAGAGCCACCCAAAACGCAGGGACTTACTTGTAAACCATATCCTGGGATCTTGTAAGGAACAGGTTTTGAGGAAGAATTATTCATCTTCTTCTGAGATCTGAAGAAAAGATACAGTAGCACTTTTGAAGCAGATGAAATCAAAAGACAAAAGATTTTTTACCAGTTTCGGGCACAGAACACTTAGTGTTTGTTTTTTTTATTGGTATCCAATGAGCTTATAATTTAATGATTCAAAAACAAATAGGTTAAAAAAAGAAGTCAGGCCAATTAACAGCATTAGAAAGACAAGACTCAAAGAGAATTTTGGAGAGAGACATGAAAAAAAGATAACTGAAACATGAAACAAGATATTTTTTTATAATGAAGCCTTAACACGTACTTGGTTCTGTTTCGGTCCTCATCGCTGCTGGTAGTTTCACTGCTGGAACTGCGACGTCGATGCTTCTTGTGCTTCTTCTTTTTCTCTTTCTTCTTCTTTTTCTCCTTTTTATCTAAACTGTTTTGAAGCTATAAAGCAAGACATCCTTTTTACTAAATCAACAATTAATCACTACCTATTAATCACTAGGGACAGAACTCAGCTCCTACTCCTAAGAGATATTAATTTGTCCTATGACCCTGCCCTTAATTCAGTGCATTCTATATTTTGACTCTGTTAGGGAGTATGGAGAAATACCTACCAACTCTTTGATTTTCTTCATTTTTACAGGATTATTCAAAACTTCTCTCCTTTTCTCCTCCTCCTTCTTTCTAAATCAGAGAGAAATAAGTTAGTTTTTAAAAAATAGAAGATATGATCATAGTTTCACAGAAGATACCTGTGAAGTGCCAGAAAAAGGCAACTCCTTCTGAAATTCAGCAGTGTCCCCAGCAACATAGATCCGTTTAAGATCAAGTCTTTTTTATCCCTACCTAAGAGTCCAACCTCATGTGAGGTTTTATATATATATCTATATATATACACACACATACATATACACACACACACAAAAATATATATATTTATTTGTTACAATCCATCTGGCTACAACACTGCTAAATGCCTGAACTCTGATAGCAGATAAGGTATATTCACATACACATCAGAGGATGATCTAAATTTGTAGAGATAAAACCAGGGTGTAATGCCTTTGCATTTTTATGTCCTTATCAACTTGAGGTCTATATCACCATTATCAGCACTCGCAAATCACATCTTCAGTATGAATTTAGGTTAGCAAAACCATCCAAAGCAGCTAACTGACCAAGTAGATTATTTGATATTATATTGCTGGGTCTAAATGCGTTATCAACTCAACAGTTTGTACCTTATCATGAAAAGTGGATCCTCCCGGATTTTGTTTGCCATGTCCAGGACAGAGTTTGCCCCTGTCTTGGCAAAAATGGAGCCTGGGAGAAGGCCAGTCTCGCTGGAACAGCCTGCGTCCTTGTCCTCTGCCTTCTCAAAGATGAATTTATCCACGGGGCGGCCCAGGAGGTACTCGTCCCTGTTCACCATGCCGCCAGGGCCCTGGTACATCCATTCCAACTTCTCTTCTCTTTTTCTGTTACAAACAAGACCCTTTTATTTGCTACCGCAAAGCTCTAAAAGTTGCACTTTAAGGCCCTGCTGCACAAAGATGAGTGGAAACATTTTCACGCCAAAGACATTAAACTCCTGACCCCTGGCAGAAGGGCTTTACTTTTCTTTAGATACAAAGTTATGTGTAAGACACACCACCAGGTAATTAACCGAATGAAACAAGAAGAGGGGCTAAATTATGAGCCTCGTCTACCCTCGTTTCTTCAAAAACAGGCACAGCATAACAGGACAAGCGGGCTGATTACAGCTTACAGCCTGTTGCTAGCAGGGCCTGATGGTTTGGATGCAGCTCCAGGAGTTTTTCCGGGGCCCGCACCGGCCGGTGACGGGGGCCCGCGGCCACCAGCTCACCTGACGGTGCCCATGTCCTCCGCGTAGCGCTGCATCTCCTCGCGGGCCCGCTCCTCCTGCAGCTCCCGCTGCAGCTCCTCGATCTTCTTCCTCTCGGCCTCATGTTTCTGCTCCGCTTTCCAGACCTTCTCCACATTGCGCAGGGTCTGCGGGTGCCAGCTCTTCTTGAGGTTCTGCGGAAGGGAGCACGCAGGGACACAGTCACGGACACGGTCACCACCGAACGGCCGCCCTCGCCCCGCTGCCCGCGGCGGGGGGTGGATCTCGCCGGTAGCACAAGGCGGTGGCGAAGGCCCCGCTTAGAACTGGGATCTCCCTCAGTGTTTGGGGTCTGTTCGAAGCGCGATAGGGCCTGGAAATGCCGGTAAACGGGGCCAGGCCGCAGGCCCCGGGCG